TGATTTTAAAGGTTACCACAATTTCAATTCTCTGTCTCATCATTTTTATTATAAAAAAGCTTAAGCCAGATCTGGAGTTCAGTTCTAATTTTTCTATATGGGATTCTTTGCCTCTAGTTATCAAACTGATATCCTTCTTGGTTTAATTTTCTTTTCCTGATAGTGCCCATGGTTTCATTTTTATTTTGTGTGTATATGTGTGTATATTTTAAATCATTTCTTAAAACATGTATTCAGAGAGTTCTGAATGAGAGAACGTGAGCTTAAAGTTTACTCTTGCTGTTTTCAGCCATAGCATTGCACAGTGGTAAGAGACAAGGACTCCTCCGATAGGTCATTTGAGTCTAAATTCTGCCTCTTTCATTTCTAGCAATGTAATCTTGGGTAAGTTTTTATATTTCTCTTTGGCCAAGTTTCTCCACTGTAAAATTAGGATTACAGCAGTGTAAATCTACCTTAACATGTTGTGAGTTTGAAGGTGATTTACTTCCAGTGAAGTCATAGACCTAAAATGGAAGTGTGCCACACTCTGCAGTTTCTCTTCTTAAATTTACCAAATGAACACATTTGTTGTTCACTTTAGGCTCACAGTTTTCAGCACTGAGAGTATCCGTCAGTTAAGACAACTTCATCTAACCATGTAAAACAGCAACCATCTCTACAGCATCCAAGTAGGGAACGACCTTGAGAAATTTTGATAGGAACAGAAATGATCTCTTTGAACATCCACTTCTTGGGAATTTTAAAGATTTTTAATGTTTCCATTAAATATTATCGTCAACTCCTATCACTCTCTCATATTTTTGTTTCCTTTTAACATCATCATACCAGCTTGACTTCCCTCTTTAGAGTCATTTCATTTTCAAAAAAATACAATCTTTCCTATAGTGAGTATCTTGTACTTAAAATATTTAAAGTATTCAGTTTAAAGCGCATATCATGGTCTATTTTTAAGGGCTCAAATTTCTTCCTTTGAAGAACAGAATTTGAAAAGGAAATAAGAATAAGTCAGGGGTTTATGCAAAGTAGGACAATCTATGATCTAGTTTTTACTCTTTGACACTCAGCTGTACAGCATGTACAGTCCAAAGGGGGAAGCCAGTGTTCCCCTTGGTGCCTGTGACTTTGAAACACACACACACACACACACACACACACCCTGCATTTCCCAGGCCTTGTATTGCATATCAGAACTTCCACTAGAGGGAGCACAGGATTAGAAAATGAAGCAAGCAAGTTGGGTATTTGCTTAGTCCTGGAGGAAAGGGGGACAATGGGTGATTTAAAAGTAAAATTAGGAAACAATACCAAGGAATTAATATTTAAAATCTCACTTACTCCTATATGATTTATTTCAAACTGACAAAGAAGAGAAGTAGAGATGCATATTACAGTCCGAAACAGTCCATATTCTGTGACATGAGTTTGGATGTCCGTTTCAAAAACAAGAACTTTCCATTCTTTGAATAACATAAGACACCAAAAAAATTTATGTAATTCTGTACATGTAACTCTGTGGTTTAACAATATTTATATTTTTAGTGTAACTTGTTAATATTTGATGACTATAAAAATGATACAACACATAAAAATTTCAAAATATCACCTTTAAGGGAATAAATATTAATAGTGGTTTGGTGTACATTTGTGTTTTACTAATAACTATTTGAAATGGTTATATTTGTGACAAAGAATATATGCCAAAATAGCATTGAATTCTCTGAATTGCTTTCCTCAATGAGAACTTTAATTCTAAACACAAATCTATGTTCTTGAAAAAAATTGAATTTTGAGAATTAGAGAAAAAAAGGAACTCACAGACAGCTCCCAAACAAAGTCCTCTCTGTTAATATCTGTAATGATTTGTGTCTAGGCCAAAGAAAGGAGGTTGAAATTCAATCCAGGTCTCCCGCTTGAGAGATAAGAGCCTAATCACCTGAACAATGACCACTGCTTCCCAGGACTACATTAGTGTGAAGCTCAAGTGAAGAAATAAACACGGAGCAAGCGTACAAACCAGCCTCTTAACAGGCAAAATGTTCGCCCCTCCATTCTTTTTGATGAGTGCGTAATAATACAACATAAGGATCTTTCATGAATTATTTTAAACAAAATCTATTCCTCATGGTCATTATTTAAAATGAAGATGAATTTATTTACTTGAAAGAGTTACAGAAAAGGAGGAGGAGAGGAGAGGAAAAGACAGAGGATGAGAGAGAGAGATTTTCTACCTGCTAGTGCTCTGCCCAGGTGGCCCTGGGCTGAGCCAGGCCAAAATCAAGGCCAAGCTCCACTGTGCGGGCATTTGGGAAGTGAACCAGCGGTGGAAGATTGATCTCTCTCCATAACTCAAGGCTGTATGCGTGCGTGTGTGTGTGTGTGTGTGTGTGTGTGTGCATGTGCAAGCGTGCACACGCGTGTGTGATTCTACCTTTTAAATGAATGAATGAATAAGTGAATGAGTGAACAAATCTCTAGAAAAGTTTGACACTCTGCCTATGTTACAAGGCCTTTTTCTCAACTATAAAATCATGGGCATGGCTGTCTCCTGGGGAATACAGGAAGCACTGAATCAACTGACACTTAGAACATCGTTCAAATTAGAAAGGACTGAGTGGTGTTTTTAAAATCACTAAAGAAAATGTGTTGTTTATTAGGCTATTATGAATAGATTCCAATACTTAAGCCCAGAAAATCATAATAGTGTCCCAGATATGAAAAAAATCCATTGGCAACATGTGCCCAGTGCAAATCTTAAGCATAATGAAGGACTCCAAGATAGGTTATCTATGCATTTTGAAGCCTGAGAAATTAAATCTACTGAAAAATCACAGTGTGAAGTTTATTTTTGTGTGACCTTTTAAAACTTACTTCACTGGGGTCAATATTTTGGTATAATGAGTTAAACAGTCATCTGGAAGCCAACATCCCATATGGCACCTCCTTCAAGTCCTTCAAGTCCTGTTTCCAATCCAGCTCCCTGCTGGTGGCCTGAGGAGGCCTCGGAAGCTCAGGCCCTCTCAACGCATGTGTGAGGCCTTGATGAAGCTCCTGGCTCCTAGCTTTGGCCTGGTCCATTTACAGCTAATACAGTCATCCAGACTGAGCCAGCGTAGTGGAGATATTTCTCTCGGTTTCTGGCTCTCTTTCCCTGTCTCTCAGTCTCTGTAATTCTGCCTTTCAAATAAGTAAGTAAATCTTTAAAAATATAAATTAGACATAACTGAGTAGTACCTACACACAAAGGATTTGACAATTCTAGGTAAACAGGTCAACTTCTCATGCCTTGGTTAATGATGCTAGTAGTCATTTTTATGTTTATTTTTCTCCTAGCCCGATTTCTTTCCTGACCAATTGTCCAACTGGAATACAACCAGTGGCAAAGATCCACTATTCCCTATCAGGATATTAAATATTAGCAGGGATTAATAATTTTATGGATAAAGAATTTTAATGGATAAAGAATTTTAATGGAGAATTTGGTTTATGACAGTTTCTAGGTATCTGGAAAAATGGAATAGTGAAATGATTATCTGTTTAACACCTAAGACTTATTGGCCTTGAGAAGTTATGCTAAGTGAAATGGGCCAATCCCAAAAGGACAAATATATGTTTACTCTAATATAAGACAACCTCCATTGAAAAGTACAATAAAAAGGGTAAATAAACACACATGTGCCATCTCACAAACAAAGGCTGTAATGGAACCAGAGTACTAAGAATCAAAGAAAATAAACTGAATGCATCTCTGCTATGAAATAAAATTAGACTCCCAATGGAAATTCTAAATATACCTAGACAACAAAATGCTAGACATTTTACCATTGCCTATGCCAATAGTGTCATCTCCCACTTACAAAACAAAGTCAGTCATTCTGTTTTCATCTCTATTTTTTTCTCTTGTGCTTTCTTTGTTAATGTAGCTAAAAGTTTGTTTCACTCCTCTTTAAAAACGGTTCTTTCTTGTTTCTGTTTTTGGGTTTTGGGGTTTTAATTTGTTTTTTTTTTTTTCTTGTGAATTTTATCATTTCCAAGTCTTGAGATGCATGACTAGATTATCTATATGAGACATTTTGATTATTTATAGATATCTGATCTTATAAATGCCTTTTTCAACACAGGATTTCTACAGTTCATGGGTTTGGAAATTATAATTTTTATTGTAATTGGATAAAAGTTATTTTTTTCTTTTACTATTGTTGATTTCTTCAGTGACATATAGGTCATATAATAGCACAGTTTTCTTCAAGAAGGTTTTTGTTTTACTTTCTTTTTCATTTTGGTGACTCATAAGTCATTCTGTAGCATGTTATTTTAATATTTTGTTGCTATAAATTTTCGATTTTTCTTCCTGTTGTCCATCTTGTTTTCTGCCTTTGTATTTAATGGGATGTGTAGGAACTGTGTAATAGAGACTATCACATCCCGATGTGAAGATAGATTGCATACTGCAGTCTTCCAAACTCTTGACAATAGGAGGCTGGATTTTGCCATTGTCCATATCTACAATGTCAGGATACACTTAAATAGATGAATGGTGGACTTAGACTTTTCAGTAAGGACTATACATTGCAATAAAAAGGGGAAGTCAGTTTGGGGGTGTTGGGGAGAAGGTAGGGGAAATCCCAGAACCTATGGAACTGTACCATAAAAAATAGCAACAATAATTTTTGTTATTTTTAAACAACACTAATTTTTATGAAGAAATTAGTCATTAGCTTCTCAGAGTAAGAGGGCATTTGCAACTCCAGAATCAAACCAGAACCAGGAACATTTTCTGCTTACATTCCCGATAGTTTCAAATTTACCTGTTTTCCAGTGCCTGGGTTAAATGAAAGGCAGACATGCGTTTTCTCAGGTTGAGATCATAGATGCTTGTGGATATAAACATGCAATTGTTCTGAGGGATATAGATAAGGCTAGCACAGTTTGGAGGTCCAAATGGTATAAACATTATCCAGTTAGAGGCATAGTGCTAACTGTGCTTCCTTCATTACCAGGTGTGAACATTATCACGGACAAAACTCCAACAGCTGGTACATCTGGTAAGAATATTCTCATTAAAAAAATAAATATTTGTTGGTATATATACAATCTTTTTCCTGAATAATTTTAGACGTCACAGGAATTGAAAAGCTTATGGAAATTTAAGGCACATATTCATCCACATTGATTTCAAGTTTTGGGCCAATATTTTCTTAAATATATTTTTTGTAACAAGGGACTTACTATTTTAATAATAAAAGTTTCACCAGCCTTGGGTTTTTTTTAAGCAATTGTTCTTTTTCAAATTTCTCTAAAGTGACTCCTCTGTTCATTTTAGTTCTGTTCTCAAAAGCCAAAGTATTATTGCAGCCTCTTTCAGGAGACAATCGCTCAGAAATCCGAAGGCAGCTATTATGACCTCCTAGAGCCTGAATTCTGTATTTCCCAAATTTAGCATCATTAGTTCTCCGAGTCATCTATTAGTTGACTCTCTAATTTAACATGTAAACTATGTTCAACTTCTGTAATACTGACTGAGCAAGTACTTAGGAAGTGACGAATTAATTAAAAGGAAAATGAAGGAATGAGCTAAGGAACCAATAGATTACTTTTTTAGAATAACCTGCACATTCACAAGAGGGAACGATTGTCATTGCCTGATATGACGGACAGCAGAGAATACCACAGCTGCAACGATTTCAGCACCTCTGATTACTTGCTGCAAACCAGCTGCAGCCAGGCTCATGTGGTATCAGAGGCTCTTCTCCCAATCCTCTCTCCCTGTTTGCTACCTCTGTGACAGGTTCCTGCTTCTGATTTTCCTGGTGGTTCTTCTCTGTGGAATCGTGCTCTTCTGCTTCCAGTGCTGGCTGAAGAGACGTCAAATTGATTGCTCAAGACGTACCGTAGCCGTGTTTGTGGTTGGAGACTTGGACCCCATGGATGGTGAGCTAAACGTTTCTACACACTTTGACATTCCTCTTACGAACTCTGTATATTGTGGGAGTTGAAACACTATCCTCTACAAAGAAGAATTCTAAGGTATGACATAGAGAAAACTCTACATTACTCAATGAAGACAGAGCTGATGACACTTAAGAAGGAGAAAGATCTCCGGAAAAATAAAAATGTGTCTTGGGGAGAACAATGCATAATTAATTCTGGGAATAACAACTGAACATTTTGCTCAGTTCACAATGAGGAGAGATACACAGGTCTAAACAATCCAAGTGACTGGTAGAATTTAAGTGCAAAATGCTTCTTAGTATTATTCTCAATCTGTCCTAAACTGTGTTCATGGTATCACTTAATAAGCTCTCTACACTTGTACACTGCATTTAATTCATCTCCAGTGACATCAAAGCACACTGCCAAGATCATTAGCAACACACACTCTGAAATCAGTGGAGTTGGTCACAATGGTGTGAGACCATATACTCTCCACCCACCACGTTGAGAGCACACGAACCCTGCCTACTCCTATCTCCATCCAAAAATCACATCCTTTGCATTATTTTCCAGTTTTCTAAGGAGATAAGGAATGGAGGAAATTGATATCTTAGAGTTATTTGTAGTGTCTAGCCTTAATTATAAATAGAAATAAAAAGGTTAAATACTGATTCCTAGGAGGTTACAATTGATGATTGATTTATCTTTTGAAAGATTAATTGATTAGTTTGAAAGTCAAACATATGATTATATATTTTGGACTCAGTAAATAAGTTACTCCAATTCATGGAAAACATGCTATTTGTTTTTTTTGGAGCTGGCTTTTACATATATTAGGAATGAAATGGATATTTTGAGATTTGGTGATAGCTTACAACTCTTGGCTATACCATTCAATTAAAGATATTTTATTCTGTTTTATGATATATCTCCGTAGGCTCCGGGGTGGCCATGCCCTTTTCCAAAGTCCCTCCCCTCCCCATTGGTTTCCCCTCTAATTTTACAATGGATGTCCTTCATGAACAATCACTTGAGGAGCTGTGGTTTTCATATTTGCTATTTGTGAAATGGCTTCCCTAATGACGGTTAAGCCTGTGGTTATAAAATAACCTGAATGTCATCATAAATGTTAAAAAAAAAAAAAGGAAGGAGAAAGGATTAGGACTGTGAGTGGGAAGGTAGAGTGGGAAATATCACTATGTCCCTAAACTTAATACATGAAATACATGAAATCTGCACAACTCTCATACATGAAATTATTAAAAATGGGTTACACAGAGTGGAAGATGTAGAGATAGCAAGATCTTCCATCTGCTCATCCATTCCACAAGGACCAGGGCTCGACCAGGGCTGGGCCAGATTGAAGCCAGGAGAAATAATAGTTTCATCCAAGTTTCCCCTGTGAGTAATGGGGGCCTAAGCATTTCACCCAGTTTCTGGTATTTATCCCAGCGCATTAGCAGGAATCTGGATCAGATGGGGAGCAGCTGGGACATAAATTGGTGCTCATGTGGGATGCCAGCCTCACAGTCAGCAGTTTTATCCACTATGCCACAACGCAAGAATCAAGCAGTTGGTTTTTTATACTAGAAACTATCTTCTTCCATCGACTGATATGTGATATTCCCTCTAAGGTACTAGATTGGACGCCCCCTCCCTATTGTCTGAGGAAGAGTTAATAAATAATATTAACTCAGAGTTATTGTTTGTACCAGCATGAGATTTATTAATAGTTGGAACAAGGGGCAGATTAAAAAAATAGAATAAAAAGAAACTAAAATTGGCATAAGCATTTTGTGTAGTGGTTAATATGCCAGTTAGGATTCCCATGGCCATATCAGAGTGTCTGAATTCGAGTACTGGCTCCTCTTTAACTCCAGATAGTCCCTTATTCCTAAATCTGAGGAGAATGAGAAATGACTTGAATAATAATGGCAACAGAGAAGGATATGGACTAGAATTTATGGACTTCCTGATGTCCTTTAAGTGAAACAGGATGTGGAAGATGGACCATTTGAAGCACTATTATAGACACCCAATTTGATGCATTGGTTTTCAGTTTCACCCAGACCTTTATTTTATTTTATTTCTTTGATACTGATTTCACATTATTACCATATTTGTTGAATTTATTAGTTGAAATGATTCTGACCGTTTGGCCTGTGAGTCAGGGGTTTGACCATCAGGATTTTGTAGAAGACAGCTTAAGCCAGTAGGAGACAAGAGAAATAATTTGGCTGAATGTCAAAGGCTGCAATTGCCTGGGCTCTTACTAAATTTCTCTCAGTAGCAATTCTTGACAATGTTACATGGCACGGTTTTCCAATTATCTTGATTAGAAATACTAAAAGGAGAAAATATTTGGTCTGATACCCTTAGAAAAGACAGGAAGGAAGTGTCGCCAAGATTGCCCATCCTAACGGCTGATGAAGCGTCCTGTCCCAGAAAGGTCTGTGGGACCTCAGCCAAATTGCCTGAATCCACATAACGTCTACAAGGCAGCAACCAGGCCTTTCTGCAGTGCTCTGCCGAGTTTATCCTCAAACAGCTGAATCTCTACTCTACTCCAAGTGATCTAGGTACCGAATGGCCAAAGTGCTGATTCTCCAGTAGGTGGGTTTTATAGAAGAGCCTCTGGCACTAGTGTACTCAATGAGCACTTTCTTTCCTTATAGTAAATTATGAAGAAACAGTTTATCCTCTGAAAATAGAGAAGTAGTCACCTTGCTAACTCTGTTAGGGCTGAGTTGTCTTCTTCCCAATTGGTATGTTCAACTTACCTTCTCACGGGATCTCAGAATAGGACTCACTTTGAAGAACTGTCCTTAATAGAATTGTCCAAATTAAAATGAGACTATTGTGAGCCACAATTTGATATGACTAGCATCTTGTATGAGGAGGTTTCGCACATAAACCAGTACAGAGAAAAGGTCTTGTAAAGACACAGGGAGAAGATGCAAATTTATAAACCAAGGTGAGAAGTCTCAGAAATAAACCAGCCCTGCTGATCCTTGGTGTTGGAAATACCCAGTCTTCCACATTGTGAGAAAATCAGTTTCTGTTGTTTAAGCCACACAGGCTGTGCTGCTTTGTTGTGGTAACCATAGAAACCTAATGCAACCTGTTAGGGAGCTACAGATGAGGAGGTCAAATCAGAGAATGCAGGACTAAGAAGAGAGATGAAAGTCAAAAAAAAAAGTAGAGAAGGAGCAAATAAAGCACCTAAGAAGAAACTTGACATTTGTTTGGAGATATCTTTACATCTAAAATTAAAATCTAGTTGTTTTATGCTGATTCTAAATGTTCTAATTATTTCTGCTTATGGTCCCCTTCCCTTCGAGGATGCAAATCTGGAATCTCCTAGTTCGCCTTTTCTTCTGTATTCACCCACCCCTAACACACTCTCCTACCGATCCGGTTCTTCCTTGGCATCGCTATGGCGATCTCAGAAAGTGCTCAGCGCCCTCATGTCTGCTTGGCTGAGTCGTTCATGAAGCGGTTTCTGACATCGCCCAACCGTGTTCTTTCAATCAACAGACATCCAAATGCTGTTATTTGGGTGTTCAGCATCTGTGTCATGAATCAAATGCTTTTTTGTTTCAATGTTTTCTTGTCTCAGATTTATATCTATACTTTTTTCAGGTTTATTAGTTTATAGGAAAGGCAGAGTGACTGAGGGAGAGATGAAAAGATACCCCTTGCCAGACACACCCAAGGGGCATGTGGAAGCGATACCTTCTGTGTGCTGGCTCAATTCACAAGCATAAATCAGCCTGAGACCAGAAGCCCAGGGCTCTATTCTGTTCTTTCCCATGGGTGGCAGGGGCCAAGGTGCTTTGACTGTCTCTCTTCCTTTCCTAGGTGCTTTAGCAGGGAACCAGATTAAAACCAAAGTAGCTAGGAGTCAAATCTTCACTCTAAACATAGAGTAACAATTTAACCCAATGTGGCACATCAACACTGTTTTAATGTCTTTTAAAAAAAAATATTTATGGGCCCGGCTGTGTAGCCTAGCGGCTAAAATCCTCGCCTTGAACATGCCGGGATCCCATATGGGCGCTGGTTCTAATCCCGGCAGCTCCACTTCCCATCCAGCTCCCTGCTTGTGGCCAGGGAAAGCAGTCGAGGATGGCCCAGGGCCTTGGGACCCTGCACCCGTGTGGGAGACCCAGAAGAAGTTCCTGGATCCCGGCTTTGGATCGGCATAGCATGGGCCGTTGCACTCACTTGGGAAGTGAATCATTGGACGGAAGATCTTCCTCTCTGTTTCTCCTCCTTTCTATATATCTGACTTTGTAATAAAAATAAATAAATCTTTAAAAAAATTTATTTATTTTTATGATCTTCCTTCCGTTGATTCACTCCCCAAGTGGCTGAAACAGCTGGAGCTGAGCCAATCTGAAGCCAGGAACCTGGAGCCTCTTTGGGGGTCTCCCACATGGGTGCAGGGTCCCAAGGCTTTGGATTATCCTCACCCGCTTTCTCAGGCCACAAGCAGGGAGCTGGAGGGGAAGCAGGGCTGCTGGGATTAGAACCAGCACCCATATGGGATCCCAGCACGTATAAGGCAAGGACTTTAGCCACTGAGATATCGTGCTGGGCCCTAATGTCTTTTTTTTTTTCTTTAAATATTATTTATTTTTACTACAAAGTCAGATTTATGGAGAGGAGTAGAGACGGAGAGGAAGATCTTCCGTCTGTTGGTTTACTCCCTAAGTGGGTGCAATGGATGGAGCTGAGCTGATCTGAAGCCAGGAGCCTGGAGCCTATTCCAGCTCTCCTATGTGGGTGCAGGATACCAAGGCTATGGGCTGTCCTCCACTGCTTTCCCAGGCCACAAGCAGGGAGCAGGATGGGAAGTAGGGTCATTGGGATTAGAACCGGTGTTCATGGGCCCGGCGCGGTGGCGCAAGTGGTTAAGGTCCTCACCTTGCATGCCCGGGATCCCATATGGACGCCGGTTCTATCCCGGCAGCTCCACTTCCCATCCGGCTCCC